TTAATGTTTACTTAAATTTGTAGTAAGGTTAATTATTTAAATTAGATTGTAGTTTGGCGTGACTTAAATGTATATTCTTCTCTATTATAATGTGTATTTTTTCAGGATATCTTTAGAATTATTTCAAACCTCGGGTTTAAAACCTCGTCTTGCCGCACTTACAACTGATCTCAACTCATGCGAACGCCTTTTGACCGGGTTGACTGCTCTCCTGGACTGCAGAGCAGTGCATGGGCATTTTTTGACTGCTTCGCGTTCATTGTGCGATGGTGGACTTATGGGACTCGCACTTATGCTAGCTGCTGGACTTCTGGCTGCATTTTTGCTTACGGTTATGGTTTGGGTCGATTCGCACACGTGGATTTATATCAGAAAAAAGTGAGTTGCTAGCGATTTCATTTATTAGTTTTTTCGTACTGATTAACATATTAGTTTTTTCGATAATTCTCTCAATAATTCTCAATAAGTAAAACTTATAAAATATGATCATATTATTCTAAAAGTTGTAGCTGAATTTAAAAATATTGTTATTTGCTGACAAAACAGAAAACCAAAATGATTTTTTGCATCTTTTCAAAACATAAAATTAAAGTTTCAAGTTCCATAAGTATTTTTCCGTTACTATTCATAAGGTTTCTTAATATTTTCATGTGTATGACAAATTGTAATTTGCCTTAAGTAATAATAACCTACAGCACCGAATTCAATAATTATGGTAATTTTATCTGCAGAAGAGATTACACCACTGTTGATGAAGCGGATCCGTTCCTACCCCCGCAGCAGGCAAGCCAAGCAGTGGCGGCGCGTACGCTGCAGCGAAGCAATCAGCATCAACAGCAAGCAGGGTCGTTACCTCGTCCACCCTGCACGCCAATGCATCAACCTGTAGCACCACCTTGCACGCCGCCGCCTGCTTACGGCACGCATGCTTTTGACAAGCACGACATGTCACAAGACTCTTCGTCATCGTTCAGGCATGCTATTCTTTTCTGAATTTTGATTTTTTCTACTTTTATTTATTATTATTCTTTGAAATCTACCTAACCTGCAAATAATTTATGAGAGGTACATGCGTTTTTTACGAAAATAAGAAAAAGATATACTATTCACTATATAATTTTACATTACGTTCTATGTAGTAGTGAAGATAGTAGTTTCTATTTTCAGAAATGATAAAAGGATACTAACCTAAAGGCTCTTTCTTTATATCAAATAGCGAACAAGTGAGAGTATTTTTATTTATGTGAAGGTTGCTTAAATATTATTCAAAATCGCGATTTAGTACCTTATGTATTTTCGAATTAGTTATAAATTGCATTCTTTGATTCATTTATATTCCTCTGGAGATGTATATGACGGTATTTGACATAATTCGTTGGGGTTGCTAGACATTAAAGCAGTCACATTCAAGTTTAACAAATATTATATAATTACTATTACAAAACTTATAATCAATAAATTACAAAACCTATTATAAAACTTATAATCATAAATTTTAATTTAAAAACTCCTAAAAAAGTTTGTAGTGACACAGGATGCTTTAAATTATTGATAATTACAAATGAATATATTATAATCACAGAAAAATTAAATTTTATTGATAAGTACATGAATCACAAACCGCTATTTAATTTTTTTTAAATTAATTTTGTTTTAAATTTTAATTAGTTTCTATTTCTATTTTTTTTCTTTACATATCTGACTGGTTTTGATAAGTATATATAGCTTGTGATATGTGAATAGAAATGTAATTTATTAATCTGTTCGCAAAGAATTCAAACTAAAAGTCTCTATGAAAGTGCATTTTTTGTAATAATATTCTTCTTTCGATAACATGAAAAACATATGGTTTTAAAATTTTGCTGAACAGATTGATATTTACAAAGAATTTATTGGTTCATTAGGTCTATTGATGAATGTTTAGATTGCCTGCAGTTTAGTTGCTTTTCAAAATTGCTGTTTTCAATATTTGTTTCATAAAACTGTTTACTCACTATTGGTAATGGATCTTAAATAGATATTTCATGTAAATAAAATAAGCCCTTGAATAATTGAGGTTTTGCCACAAATTGATTGCAAAGCTATGCATTAGTGAGATGCCTATGAGCTGTTGTTCCTTTAATCGTTTTGTACATATTTTTATACAAATACATACGTACAACACATAATAAATAAATACATACATACATACATATATATATATATATATATATATATATATATATTATAATTAACATGCAATGCATGGAGAAATGTAAATAGAATGTTCAATCTTGTATATATATATATATATATATTTTTGAATAGTCTTGAATTTGATGTTGATATATATGTTTAATTTGAGTTTAATAATCGGGCGTAACATCAATAAAAATAGTATGAGTTTTTTTAAAAAATTTATTTATTTAAAATCCATACGTTTCGGCTAGCATCTTAGCCATCATTCAGTGGTAATCAAGTTAAAATTTTGTATCCTAATAATCATATGCTATATTAGGATACAAAATTTAACTTGATTACCACTGAATGATGGCTAAGATGCTAGCCGAAACGTATGGATTTTAAATAAATAAATTTTTAAAAAAACTCATACTATTTTTATGATGTTACGCCCGATTATTAACTTAAATTAAATATATATATATATATATATATATATATATATATATATATATATATATTATAATTATAAATTTATCAACAAATTTTGTACATAAAACAAAATCAGCTTATATTACAACCGCTTATATTCAATTGTTAACAATCATAGCAAATACTTAATTACATTTGCAAAACTTCTGATTCAAACTGATTAGAAATCGCATTTTATTTTATATCTGTTCGATCACATTGATTGTTGCTTTAACAAGCTACAAAAACAATAGGTGTTGATTATATTTTTATTTTTTAATAAACATTTTCTTAACTAATTGAATATTACATTACATACTCATGTTCAGAAATTCTAGTTCATAATGTTGAAAAAGATTTTTATATTAAAAAGTATTTTCACACAATTATTCACAAGCGCATGTAGCAAAACATTCCAAAATTAATTACATAATTTTTATATGTGCTGCTCTATCGATGTTTATTAAATTATTCAACAAAATTTAAAATATCCTAAACTTGGATCAATATCTGTCAGAATAGGTACATGTTTCGAATACAAATGAATGACGCAAGTTTCTCGATGCGGCAAGCACAAAAATATCTTCAAAATCATTGGAAAACTCTTGCTCATGACACTAATTAAACGTAGTTGAATCGGATATTAGTTTTTGTTTGAAATATATATTTCCTGTAACTATTTAAATGTCCCCAACAGACATGACAGATCCCTGTCACGAAACAGTCATAGGGTCGACGGAGCCGGTCATCTCGGTCATATCGGGCACCGAACACACGCTTCGCATGGATCGCATACGCTCGGACGGCTGCCGTCTCATGGACACTCACCGCCGTCGCATTTCGGAAGCGGAGCGGGAGGACCCAACAATGGGAAGTACGCGACTTTGAGCAAGCAATGCAAGACTCTCGAATCATCTGATTTCTACTGAGATTCAGTCGCCTGCGGTGCCTCGCCCCCAAGGTACCAATTGTAACAATTTGATTTTTTGTCTCTATTGAAATTTTTCAATTGGAAGCTTCAATAATCCAGAATGTAATATAAAATTACGTATTGTTCACGTTTGCCAACTAAATTGTCAAAGCTTTCTCAATATGAGAGTTCTATTTTATGTATATTTCGTACACAATGATATTAAGTCTAAAAGACAAAGATCTAGGGCTTACAATACCGGGATTCCGTGATCCCGAATACCGGGATCCCGGACGATTTTTGTCCGGTATTCAATACCGGTATTGATACTAAAAATACCGGTATTTCGGGATTACGAAAATTTTGTTAAAAATTAAACTTACACAATACACATACACGATTTTTACACTTTATTTGTGTATTGCCGACTCGGCTCAGTCCAGTATGACACATCTTGTCGATGCCGGCAAGATAAAGCGATTGTTTATATATTATATACGATCTAATGAATGGAACCCATTTATACAAAGTATTAGTCGTCCACGTGCATTGTCCAATGATATTTTAAACAAAATATACAGTCGACACGTTATAATACTCTATATTGTATATCTTCCTTTCAATCATTCGTATTATCGTATTCATTATTTTTTATAACTTATAAAAATTTACAAGTCAAATCATTGAGTGATAAATTGTTTGATAATCAATGATAATATTGGTCTCGTTGCAGATTCTTAGAAATCGTTCATATAGAATAATTTTATTTATTTATTAGGCAATCAGTAAATACAATAATTTTCTATAAGCCTTTGTGAAGTGCTGATATCTATTTATGATTTGTTTATAAACTAAATACCCTATACTAAGTACTAATTCATATCGACTAATCATGTACTCGTATTATTTCTTTATGACAATTGTGCCGACAAGTGTAGCATGAGGAAAGACTTTTTCGGCGTGTTATATTTGTACTAAAAATAATAAAATATAACAGATTTAGTTCGTCCACTTTCATATTTTCTCTAAAATTCGTCTTTAAAGTCAAACGTTCCTTAACATCCCGTAATATGGTACGTTTACCTTAACTAAAAATATGACTAATAAAATTTTCATTGATAATACCGGTATTAATACCGGGATCCCGGTATTACAAATTTCAAATATCGAACCGGTATTCAGATTTTAATACGAATTTGAAAGCCCTACAAAGATAATTATCAGTATAAAATATATTGAAATGCCAATTTTTACCTGAGTTTTTATTGTTTTCTTACCCAGGGATCCGCGGGATGTGACTACCACTGAAGGGGGCATCAACCGTTTTGATCCGAAGTATGCAAGTTTCGGTCCCAAAGCAGTCCGCTGTCCATCCGTGCAAAACAACTGTGCGACCTTGCGACACGGCACACGTTTCGGCGCTCGAACAACGCCGACTGATAAATTCAACTCCTTGGGCAGACGGCCGCAGCAGTCTATATCTATTTTGAGTCAACCGCTACCCGATATTCCGCAAGAAGCTCCGCCAAAAGCATCCAACGCGGTCACAACCTCGGATCAGAATCAGCCGTTAAATGCCAAGAACTTTGCGGCGTATAGGTCCCTTCAACGACCAGCAAAAGTGCCTATAGCGCCAACCGCTCCACCGGTAGATCCGCATTTGCACTATAGGACGATGCAACGTACTGGTCAAAACCAGAACAGCGAATTGTATGCAGTCACAGAATTGTAAGCGAATTTTGTCCGCAGGCGACTATCTCATTTTTCATTTTGATCGAGCAGATAATATATGAGAAGTTTTATTAATAAAACAATGATCTGATATAATTAAATCGTTCTCTGTACTATTTTTAAAATGGAGTTTTAGTCAATATCTATAACAAAACATGAACAGTTTATTTTGGTTGATATATTTACTAGTATCAAAGTTAGAACATTTAGATGAAAAATGCCTTTTTTATATTTTCTCATAGAAAACACATGCTTGGAAGGATTTTTATTTATATGAAAATTGTTGAGCTACACAATTCTGTAAGCAATTAGAATTAGAATCATTATTTAATTATATATTGCTTTTTATTCTCCATACTCACAGAATTGATGCATCTTATTATCTGGTGATATATTGTTTCTAAAAGTAATATATTTTTAATTGATAAATTATTGAAATAATAAGCGTCTAATTAAAAAGGGTTGATTCTGCAAGATGTACTATTTGCAGAGAAATAAATGTGAAAATTTAGTGCTATTTTAGCATCATAATTTATATAAGAAATATATTACCCGGATATATTTCGAATAAATGTTCATGTAAATGGTACACTAATATTATTCACATATTAAATAATTTGATTTTATTCATCATATGATTATCACTATTTTTTAGTTATTATTTAGCTTGCAGTTGCGTGTAGCAATTTTACAGACATTTAATGCATGCAATTGATATTAAATTGTACTGTATTGTTAATCAAATAAGTTTGCATGTATTCACTTATGAAAAAGAATTTTAGTTTTTGTACTCTATTGACAATTTTTAGTTTCTGAACATGTTTTTTGTGCTGTGGGAATATCATATGCTAATTTTACTGATAAATATTTAATAATTCATCAAATTCAGTGTTTTGTTTAAATGTGTAAACTATATGCATCTGAATGATCAAGCTTTACACTTAACAATATATCAAAGTCATTAAAATTTGAATCAAATGAAACTTATGGCAAATTAGAAATCAACTATTTCTACCTCTGTCATAAATTTTTGCACATTAGAAGAATCTCTGTGATCATTTTTTTTAAAAAAAAAGCTGACCAATTGGTTAGTTTGGAAACTAAATAAAACAGGGAACAATTTACATCATTTGCTAACATCATTTGGTACATAACATAAACATGCTGTTATCTTTACCTGCACATGTCTAACTTGGAAAACGCACATTCAAAAATATGAATAGTCAAAATCTTATGTGGTGACAATGGTTTAAAAAATATAGTGTAATTAAATTGTCTGTTGACATATTTGTATATAATTGTTGTCACGTTTTTTTTTTAATTAGAATAACAATATAAAACAAGGGCTTTATAAGGTTTCTTTAGAAATAATGCAATTGAAATAACATCAGTCATGTTGCAGTCTATACTCATCGAAGATAACAGTATTATCCTAATCAATAATTATAACTGCCTAGCCTTTGGCTACGTTTTGTAATTTTGTAAATTTATAACAGTACAAAAATATTAAATGGTATCTAATATAATAAATGTAAAAATTGTCATATAACATCAACAAAGAATATCAAATTATGTAAGGTGCTTCTCTTTGGATAGTATCGCTCACATAATATTTATTTGACTTAATTGTTTGTTCTCATACATCAAAATATCTATTATAATATATTACAATAATGAACATCAAATAAATGATACTAGATAAAAAAAATGAATATGACTGTGAACAGTGTAACTTTTATATCAGTGCCGTTCTTAATTTAATACTTACACTGCTATGCAAAAGAATGTTCTCTGAAATACATGTGTACCAATTTACGGGAGTTATTTGTAAAAAAATTTTAAAAATATTATAGAAGGTTTTTTAAAATTATTATTCTAAGGAGTCCTACATTAAGATTTTATTATGAATCTTATTTGAATCAGATTTATTGAAGGATAATGTTAGAATTGAATAAACTAAACATGTAGCCTAATTTTTTATACTTACAATTAGACTTTATATGAGTGTATATATAATTGAACTTTGTTTTGTTGAAAGACTTTGCATTTACACAATATCTATTTAAGTATAATAAAGCATTGATCTATACATATTTTCCAATAAACCAAGCAAACATTGATTAATACATTCCACCAAATTTTGATGAGACTGTAATTAAATTACTAATATTTTATCTCAGAGCAAGAAAATCAAACCATTTACCTTTGTGGATTGATGATCCATATTGAACTAGTCTGAATTATTGACTATTAATGAAATTTAAATATTTAAATTTCGCTCAAATAACTATAGAGTAAATAGCACAATAAATGAATAAAATAGAAAATATCTTAATCGGAGACGATTTTCAATAGAGTATATTGTAATCATGTTTAGTATATTTTGTAGAAATTGTTTTAAAATTATACTAAACATATTTATATGTAAATAAATTCGGAGTAGTGAAGTTAAAATGACCTCAATAACGGCTCATTTATTCCAGAATGGCCGTCGACTTGATTATTATAAGAGTGATTCTATTACCCCAAAAAAGAATGTAAAATGTTATATTAACATTTAATGAATAATTTTACAATTCAATTCTTTAGCACATATTTGATAACATTATTTGATATGTGGCTCTATTTGTCATGAAAATTATTGTATTAACGATCTGATGTGTATGATCAAATTGAAATAGATTTTACTTCTAGTTATATTATGATTTAGAAATATTTATATCTACCCTTTATAAGATTTTATAATTATTTATAACATTATGATAATATAATATGTATATTTAATTTAATTCTTTTTTTCTGCTTTGTTCTTATAATTTTTATATGTAACATTTTCAGATATACCAAAGTTGTACTAATAACTTTAGCATGAAAATGGACTAAGAATAATTTCTTTTCAGAAAATAACATTTTCTACTAAACATAACATATATGTACCTAAAAACAGATAGTTTTTGAACCAGGAATTGTTCACAGAAATTCTAAATGAAGAAACAATAGAAATGGTCCTAAATTTTAGAATAACATTTTCTACTAAGCATAACATATATGTAGCTAGAAACTGTTTTTGAACCAGGAATTGGCTACAAAAATTCTTATTCAAGAAACAATTGGCATGGTCCTAAATTTTAAAATAACATTTTGCACTAATCAGAACATATTGTACCTAGAAACTGATAGTTTTTGAACCAGGAAATGGGTACAAAAATTCTTATTAGAGAAATATTTGAAATGGTCCTACATTTTAAAATAGCATTTCTACTAAACAACATATATATATATATACCTTGAAACTGTTTCTGAACCAGGAATTGGTCACTGAAATTCTTATTAGAGAAACAATTAGCATGGTCCTAAATTTTAAAATAACATTTTACACTAATCAGAACATATATGTATCTAGAAACTGATAGTTTTTAATCTAGGAAATGAATACAAAAATTCTTATTAGAAAAATATTTGAAATGGTCCTAAATTTTAAAATAACATTTCTACTAAACCACGTATATGTACCTTGAAACTGTTTCTGAACCAGGAATTGGTCACAGGAATTCTTATTAGAGGAACAATTCGCATGGTCCTAAATTTTAAAATAACATTTTACACTAATCAGAACATAAGTACCTAGGAACTGATAGTTTTTAATCTAGGAAATGAATACAAAAATTCTTATTAGAAAAATATTTGAAATGGTCCTAAATTTTAAAATAACATTTCTACTAAACCACGTATATGTACCTTGAAACTGTTTCTGAACCAGGAATTGGTCACAGGAATTCTTATTAGAGGAACAATTCGCATGGTCCTAAATTTTAAAATAACATTTTACACTAATCAGAACATAAGTACCTAGAAACTGATAGTTTTTAAACCAGGAAATGGCTACAAAGATTCTTATTAGAAAAATATTTGAAATGGACCTAAATTTTAAAATAACATTTCTACTAAACCACGCATATGTAACTTGAAACTGTTTCTGAACCAGGAATTGGTCACAGGAATTCTTATTAGAGGAACAATTCGCATGGTCCTAAATTTTAAAATAACATTTTACACTAATCAGAACATAAGTACCTAGAAACTGATAGTTTTTAAACCAGGAAATGGCTACAAAATTCTTATTAGAAAAATATTTGAAATGGACCTAAATTTTAAAATAACATTTCTACTAAACCACGCATATGTAACTTGAAACTGTTTCTGAACCAGGAATTGGTCACAGGAATTCTTATTAGAGGAACAATTCGCATGGTCCTAAATTTTAAAATAACATTTTACACTAATCAAAACATAAGTACCTAGAAACTGATAGTTTTTAATCCAGGAAATGGCTACAAAAATTCTTATCAGAAAAATATTTGAAATGGACCTAAATTTTAAAATAACATTTCTACTAAACCACGCATATGTAACTTGAAACTGTTTCTGAACCAGGAATTGGTCACAGGAATTCTTATTAGAGGAACAATTGGCATGGTCCTAAATTTTAAAATAACATTTTATACTAATCAAAACATAGTTCCTAGAAACTGATAGTTTTTGAACCAGGAAATGGCTACAAAAATTCTTATTAGAAAATATTTGAAATGGACCTAAATTTTAAAATAACATTTCTACTAAACCACGCATATGTAACTTGAAACTGTTTCTGAACCAGGAATTGGTCACAGGAATTCTTATTAGAGGAACAATTCGCATGGTCCTAAATTTTAAAATAACATTTTACACTAATCAGAACATAAGTACCTAGAAACTGATAGTTTTTTAATCCAGGAAATGGCTACAAAAATTCTTATCAGAAAAATATTTGAAATGGACCTAAATTTTAAAATAACATTTCTACTAAACCACGCTATGTAACTTGAAACTGTTTCTGAACCAGGAATTAGTCACAGAAATTTTTATTAGAGGAACAATTGCATGGTCCTAAATTTTCAAAATAACATTTTATACTAATCAAAACATATGTTCCAAGAAACTGATAGTTTTTGAACCAGGAAATGGCTACAAAAATTCTTATAGAAATATTTGAAATGGTCCTAATTTTAAAATAGCATTTCTACTAAACCACGTATATGTACCTTGAAACTGTTTCTGAACCAGAATTGGTCACTGAAATTCTTATTAGAGAAACAAATAGCATGATCCTAAATTTTAAAATAACTCTACACTAATCAGAACATATTGTACTTAGAAACTGATAGTTTTTGAACCAGGAAATGGGCACAAAAATTCTTATTAGAGAAATATTTGAAATGGTCCTACATTTTAAAATAGCATTTCTACTAAACCACGTATATGTACCTTGAAACTGTTTCTGAACCAAAAATTGGTCACTGAAATTCTTATTAGAGGAACAATTGGCATGGTCCTAAATTTCAAAATAACATTTTATACTAATCAAAACATATGTTCCTAGAAACTGATAGTTTTTGAACCAGGAAATGGCTACAAAAATTCTTATTACAGAAATATTTGAAATGGTCCTAAATTTAAATTACGTTTTATACTGAGCAGAACATATATGCATCTAGAAACTAATTGTTTCTACTAGAAACCAGGAATTTGTTACAAAATTTCTCATTAGAGCAACGTTTGAAATAGTGCGCCGCTCATTGGCTCATTGTTCAGAAACATGTTTAATGCTAATGCTACTATCTTAACAGTGGTTTGCCGAGCGGCATTAAGCGGCAATCGGCATGTTCATTTCATTGTGTTAGTATCTCTATCAGATATAGTCGTTTTTAATTCTCACGTGTTATAGAGCTTATTAAGTTCGGTGTTTATAATTTTATAAATTCTACAATATTTTCTGTTTTTGCGCAATAACATAACCCTAATCTTGAAATTGGTAAAGTTCGACAACTAAGCATAATCAAACTATTAAACGTTCTTTTCGTTTTCGCAACATAACCTTTATTATTTTAACCTGCAAAGTGGCTGAATAATATTAAATACATAATAACTAATAATAATAACTAATACGTTTTCGGTAACTTAATGTTAAATTAAAGTTTTTATTTTGTTTGTGGTTTTATGACAATGTGCGGGTGAGTAGTATTTGTACGATAGTTTTAGGCACATCTTGTGTGCAATAATTTGAGTTCTAATGTTCGTCATTTTTTTTCAGGTTTAAAAATGATATTATTTAAACGCTTAGTTTAGTCATTCTTGACAAAATGTGTGTTGGAGATCATAGTGTTTCCTAACGAGCGGGTTTTTTAATATAGAGGTAACTGCTTTCAAAATAAAATGTTTTACTTGATGCCTAATTCTGATTCTCATCCAATCCCATTTATATTACAGTGATACAATACACGTGCTCGACCTTTTGCTGTCTCCTGTTACTGAATTGTGAATGTCATTTGATATGTAAGTGTGAATTTTTTTTGTTATACATTTGAAGTGCTGGACTCATGTTTGTGTGTGGCATTCATAACATTGTAATTTTTTTTCATCACATAGCCCATTTATGTAACCACATACTCACTATTCAATGATACTATAGAAAAGTTTTTTTTTATTGCTCATCAAATTATAAATGTGCAGTAAAAAAAATACTTGAAAGATTTATTTGAAAATAATTTTTGTTACAAATATACTGTTTGTATGAAGAAGGTGTAGCAATAATGTTTAATTTGAATATGCTAAAATCAATTTTGAAAAAGTAATCTTTACTTCAACTAGTGTAATAAATTACATCTGCGGGCAAATGTGATTTATGCATGAAAACCTTTTATGCTGGTTTGGCAGAATAATTTCTATTATTACTCTATTAATTACAACATTCAATCCATATGCATGATAACATTTAATAGTTTACTTTTTGTCTTATTTAATAACCAAAACTTTCTATTATATTCAAATAATATCATAATAATTATTTTGTTTCTGCGTTTCACTTCTTATAACATTGTGATGGAGAACATTATTTTTTGCACAACTTTATTTCTGTGTGTGTTATGAATTCATGATTTCTAACTACTTATTTGAAATGATTTTTAAAGTTTGTTTTTGTTGTTGGTGTTTAATTGAAATGATGCTTGGTCCATGTCGTTATAAAATTTTCTATATTTGTTAGCATATTTTTTTGATTTTTGGTTTGTTGTTTGATTTAGTTTGTTCATGGCACATAAAAAAATAAAATGATTGCTAGATGCAGTAGTATCTGAACAATTATCTACTGCAGATTATTACTCTTAGTGCAGAATACTATATAGATCATGTTTTTATACCAGAATGAATTTTCTATAAGAAGTGCATTTAGTTTTACGATCACATAGAATACACCCACTACATACACCTACTACATGAAAATATCTGCTTACTAATTAGGAGAGTCAAAGGCCGGTAAAAGTGATTCAGATTCAATAGGTTGATTTTTTTTATATTTGTGCACAGTATATCTGTGCACACTATATATGTTTTTGTTGTGAGGTAGACTAATTTTGATTTAGGTTTTGCACATTTATAGTGGATATTTTTTTTAAACCAGGAATTCCTATATTTGAAAGTAATTATATCGTTTCACTTCATTGGTAAATTGAAGTTAACATAATTTTCGTTGAAAACAAAAATCTATGTATTGCTGCCAGAACTTCTACCTTTTATAGAGCGCGCATGGCTGTAACTGTTCCTTACATTAAACCAAAATCTTGAAATTTGTGCTGTAATCCTTGTTTTTGATTTACTGAAGTGGTCATGATGTTCATTATAGGAATATTGTATATTTTTATGCAAATGGCTTGGAAGTGAATTTTAGTTTACATCTAGAAATTGGATGGCAGTTAGAGGATGTTTCTGATAAGTTGTAAAAGTTCCACTTAAAAAACAACATTTTATTCATATTTTGCTTGCATTATGATAATTATTTATTTTGGTCATAACTCAAAATGCAATATATTATTTAAAAACATTTGCATATTGCATGCAAGATAATTTTAACAACTAACATTTTTTATGCCTACTGTTAACAAAAGAACTACATTATCATTCCGCCTTTGGAATTTATTATACATAAATCTGAAAGAAAATTCTAACATCTAGAAAGTGGATGGTAGTTAGAGGATGTTTCTGATAAATTTTAAAAGTTCCTCTTAAAAACCAACATTTTATTCATATATTGCTTGTGCTTTATGATAATTATTTATTTTGGTCATAACCCGAAATGCAATATATTATTTAAAAACATTTGCATATTGCATGCAAGATAATTTTAACAACTAACATTTTTTATGCCTACTGTTAACAAAAGAACTACATTATCATTCCGCCTTTGGAATTTATTATACATAAATCTGAAAGAAAATTCTAACATCTAGAAAGTGGATGGTAGTTAGAGGATGTTTCTGATAAATTTTAAAAGTTCCTCTTAAAAACCAACATTTTATTCATATATTGCTTGTGCTTTATGATAATTATTTATTTTGGTCATAACCCGAAATGCAATATATTATTTAAAAACATTTGCATATTGCATGCAAGATAATTTTAACAACTAACAGTTTTTATGCCTACTGTTAACAAAAGAACTACTTTATCATTCCGCCTTTGGAATTTATTATACATAAATCTATCTATCATATCTACATTGCTTTTTCATTTTTGCTATAAATTGTACTTGGATAACTCATTGTGGTCTGTATGACTGTAGAATGAATGTCTTCGATAAATGAGAAGTATAATGCAGAGTATAGTTCTAAACTTCTTTTTATAATTGCTTGGTATTTATGATTATCAAGGTTAATGAATTTCTCAAGTGAAAGTATTTATATTATTTAACTTTTTTATTTTTTTCAATTAATTACTACCCTCAATTAGTTTAAATGTCAATTTCTGTATTCAGGCTATTTGGTAAAGAATTTTACTGTGCTTTTTTTTTACATTATCTGTGATCTTTTGGTGATCAACTTTTTATACTGTGTGGTATAATAGATTTGAATTCTGATAAATTTAGGCTGTAAGTATCTTAACTATGAATGTAAATATTTTTGTTTTGCCTATGAAAATTGCTTTTCTAATGAGTGGTTTTATTATTAGGACTTTCTATAAGTCTGACATTGAACTCTGAAAATATAAATAATATAAAATAATACATAGTCTGATTATCATTATTTACAATTTCTCTTTATTATGTACAATTTCTCTTCATTATTATTCACAACTTTTATTATCAACAAGTCACATAGGTCTATTAAAATAGTATAAAATATATATTCCAGGTTACTATACATATAAAACTCATTATTTGCTTTTAATAATTCAAGTAAAACTTATAAATTATGTCATAAATTAATTTTTAATTCTATACTAGTTATGGTAAAATTATATACAATTCATCATAATCTAAAAATTTTTATTTACAATTTAGTTGACCCCAAATATTTCATCTTCGATTTTTACATATTCTATTATGAAATTGGGTCCATTTAATTCAAAACTGCTATCTACAATATTATTTTCTAATATGGCCCTGGGCTACTGTGTCCCAATTATTATTTCAGGTTCATCGGCCTCATTTTGTAATAGAACCATCTTTTCATCTGAACTATCAGCACTTTCAGATGTAATGGATTGTGTGCAAGTAGCCGCTTCCTGCAATTAAAATTTCAGTTTGAATCATTTTTTGTGAAAAATCCTTTTTTGTATTTTTTATTTCTTTTTATAATGCTCTCAAGATCTGTGGGACTTAGAAAATATTATTAATTTATCTACTCCAAATAAATTAGTTGAAATGAACTATAAAAAAATGATACTGCATAATTTTTTATAAATGTACCTAAATGAAGCATGCAAATCCCTGATTTACTTTACTAAATAAATAATAATTTAATGTAAAAAAAATCAAAACATAAAACCAAAGCTGACCTGAACTATTTCTACTTGTTTAAATGTAAAATGTTGCTGTTGTGGATTATAATCAGACATCCACATTTCTTTCTTCGATAATATTTGAGATTCTGTTGACTGGGAACCTTTCAATTCGACTTCTGTAGCTTCTTCCATTATATCAAGCTTTATTAAAGAAGAACACTTTATTTAATTTTTGATTTCATGACTTTATGCATGTATATGTATATACACTTGCACATATAGGGTGTTGCGATGAACATATTTATGCTTCAATAGATTATTTATTCGATGAGTATTAAGCCATCTCTGTGTAACATACATATTATCTCAAAACTATGAACGTTTTTCTTAAACTTCTTGGAAATAATATAAAACGATTTAAAATTGTTTTGCATTAGGCTTTTACACCTTTTCACTTACTTTTATCTGCCACAAGAAAATTTTGTGAAATTACTTAATATTTATTAACAAATAAAAAGTCATCATACTTACAGTTATTCTTTGCTTCTGATGAGTCTTGATGTGTTTTGATAAATGATCAGACCTCATGAACTTTTTATTGCATTCAGGACATTGGAATCGTTTTTCACCTGTATGAGTCCTTCTGTGCCTTTGTAGTTCATCAGACCTTGTAAATCTGAATAAGAAACTTGTCAAGTAATTTTTCACTATAAAATAAAATAGACGTATGAAAAATAAATATCACCTTCTACCACATAAAAGCCAAGAGCAAACAAAAGGTCGTTCTCCTGTATGCCAGCGCAGATGAGCCCTAAGATGTGAAGTTTTGCCATATATTTTATTACAGCCTTGTATGTGGCATATATGTTGTCGTTTTCTATCAGTATGCCTGGAAATATAAATATTAGTAAATTAATAGAAATAGAAATCATATTTTCAAATCTTCTATGGGTAATTAAATGTGGGGACTGACTGACGTAACATGGTGTCATGGTATACATTTTATTTTTTTTATATATTAATTTTATTTATAAATTTAAATATTTCAAACTTATATTCTTTATCATGATAGCTTTATAAATGCAAAAGGAATACTAAAATAATATTTCACTTCAGATTTATATCAATGTTATGCAGGAAAATGTTTACGATAGTTGCAATGCCTTGCTTTCTTTGTGAAATACATTAATTAAAAAAGATAATCGTTATCTATGTAAATTGTTCCAAATGCAATTCAGATTTAGTTTAATATTTGTATGGTCAGTGTAGCAGAACTTCGCGAATATGATTTAATAACTCAAGTGCCATTTTGATGTCAGTTATCGTAACACCTGCCTGAATGCAAAGTATGGCTATAATTGAAGACCTTATTTTGCATACATGTGGGCGTTAAGTTAAGCTTATTCCACCACTTCATTGATATTTTTCAATTTTGTAATACTACTTGTCATAGTACCCATGTAGATGCAGAGTAAGGCTAGCGAATAAGACCTTATTTTGCATTCATATGGGCATCATGTTAAGATCGATAGATATCTATTTACTTTTTTCCCAAAATTAAGTTAAACAATCTGTGTAATATATTTTCTTCTTAATTAAAATTGATAAACATTAAAAGCAGCTTTAATTTCCACATTGTGGACAAATTTCATGTGAATAATCTTAAATATGAATAAATTCTGAAAAGTCTACATATAAATTGTTTTCAATTTTGAAATAATTTCAAACAATTTGGAATATTTTACATTTTTGAAATATAACATTTTTTGCAAATACGTATCTATCATTATTGAAGAAACGTGAAAGATTCTTTGAAAATAATATATGCTGATAATTTTATAAGCTAATTCAAAAGCTGAATACGCTATAGGAAAAAAATCAAAATTATAGTTTTATACCCTTTCCGTTATTAACTTCCCAAGGGAGAAGTTTATTTTCGCGAAAAAATCCGATTTGCTAATTTTATGTTTTCTCGCCTTTTCAAGACATTCTGAATCGAAAAAGAACAAATTTGAAAAAGGTTGCGTGTGTGTATGTGTGTACCGTTTTTTGTTCAATAATGTATTATTAGGATTAGCTATAAATCGCTATAACAATTATTATTTTTCTACGGAAATTTAAATGTGTACGATAAAGAGATTAATTATTTGAAAGGTTAGCTAAAAAACAGTTTAGCTATTTGACAAGGCAAGACTAAAAGTAACAAATGAGGTTTCCGCGTCATGATCGGCTACATGAGTGCAATGTAAGACTAGAATTATGATTCTACATTTACATGATTCTGCATTTGTATGGCTGCTTTTGTTCGAGGTTTATTAAGCATTGAATTTCAAACATGATTATGAATATGTATAGCTCTTGTAATGTGAAAGTCCATAATGGAAAAGTGAAGTGAAACGCGCAATAGAGAAAGTGTCTTAACATGATATGACTACTATACTATACACAAATGCAAAGTATGGCTCTACATAAGACTCTATTTTGCATTTGTGCAGTTGATTATGTTAACTGGAAATGTCAATTTAAGAAAGTTTTTTGTGTTACTGAATTATTTATAATTTCATGGTAATCTAGTAACTTGAGATTGAAAATAGTGAACTCCAATCCTACATTTTCTTTTGATTAAATTAAACATAATTTGTAAACTATAGCTGTGAAAGGCAAATATTTTATGTTAGTTCTATGAAGGCCATAAACATATAGAAAGATCATATATAATAAAATTTCTTCTATTATAACTACACAATAATAACCTTCTTAGATTCTATTTGATTATAATATAAAACATAAGGCAAGACATGTTGTGTCCTTGTGTGCAATGACTAGTGGTTATAATTGTGTTTCTTACCCATTGTAAAGTCAAAGAATTGTGATAAGTTAACATATCTGAGGTCTGATAGTGGGGATAATGAACTTACTTATGAAATACTACTTCAGTACAATGCTTGTTAGTGACTTACCGTTCCCCATCTCTGCAATTAGGACAGGTACAAGCAACCCTTCGTAACCTTGGTTTAGGAGTGGGATTATCAGGGTCATCAGTAGCTCCAATATTTTGTGATGGCGAGTTCATATTTCCTGAGTTTGAAATAGGTGGTGAATTACTGGCCGTTGTGACTATTTGCCATTTTGTTGGGTCATTAGGATCTTGTTGTATTTGTTGTCCAGCTGTAATTCATACTTAATAAATTAAATATAAATTTAAAATAAGTTCTAATTGTCATAAATATTCCTGGTTTTCAAATGCTTGTCTAATTCAGTTGAAGAAAAATAATTTTTCAATTTTCCATATTCAAATCCAAAATTTTAAACATTGCAAACAAAAAAAATCTAAAGTCAAAACAGTGTGTTTGTTTCCATGTCAATCATTTATGCTGTAGTCATTAACTAAAAATTGAAATTATTTGGAAATATTTGGAATCCATCAAACAATGACATCTGAACAATTTACAAAAATTTTAAAATAATTGTGTTATTTTGGTTCTATGTATATTCATTTTTTTTTTTTTTTTTAATATATACCCACTTATTATTTGCGGTTTTGTTTCGTGTGCAATGGAATGTGTGTTCTGTTGCCCTTGTAATGATGCTAAACCTAATTGAGATTGAGCACCCAGACTTAAGGCGTTTGCTGGTATGACTTGTACATTACCAATTCCGGGAATGTTTTGCACTGGTATTGATTGCAGAGCGGATAAATTGGGCACCTGTATAAAATTTAATAAGTCATAAGCATAAATAAGGTAAAAGGTGATAAAAAAAATAGCAAATTCTTAAACTTATAATTCTTCGTTGACAAGTTTGTCTTTAAAGGAATCATTTCTTAATATTGATTCAAAGAACGTACCTGTATAATATTTGCTCCAGATCTCAATTGCCCAATATTTATACCATTTCCTGGGACAACAGTTAATTGCTGACCATTGGGCCCAGTTATAGTGATTGGTTGACTTTGGTTTTGTAATAAATTTGCTGTCTGTGAATCTGTAGTGATTGAAGTGTTCAGAGAACTAGGAGCTGAGACAGTCTGTAAAATTTTTATGTTGATTAACACACGGAAACCTAATACTTTTTATAATCTAAAAAAAATTACTGAGTAACTGAGTGATTTATAATATTATGCTTTTATGGAATAGCATAAATCATATTACCTATGATTAAATTTTTTCAATTACCTGCGTTGATGAAGTCGGGGCGGTGCTATTCCACGATGTGGATGTGTTAGCCGCGTTATTATTCGCCGTGGCAATTTGGGACAGAACACTTTGTTGAGATTGATTAGCTTGAGCTTGAGCCTGTGCTTGGGCCTGGGCCTGTGCCTGTGCCTGTGCCTGAGCCTGAGCTTGAGCTTGAGCCTGTGCTTGAACTTGTGCAGCTTGCAAGCCAGCCAAAGACGTTAGTTGTATTTGTTGTATTTGTCCATTTGAATTAATGACATTTGCCACTTGTGACTATTGGAAACAAAAATTATTTAAAACAATTTATATTTACAAAGAACTATTTATATTTGTACAAACTTATTAAGATTATCTAAATTTATAAATGTATCAAATAAACTGATGCAAATTTAAGTAGAAAATCTAAATAAGCTTTATTAGTTGACCAAGCATTGATAGAAGAAACTTCCAATGTTATTATATAAAATTTTGACAAACCTGTGCTGCTAACTGCGGTATTATTTGCATCTGCGGTTGCACTAGACCAGGAATTCCAGCAAACGCTTGCAATGGGAAATGGACGGTCTGCAAAACTGTTTGCCCGTTGGGCGTGCTTACGGGAACTTGTACCGGTATTGTTTGGGCAGCCATCGCATTAGCGAACTGCACTACTTGAGGCATAGGAGATCGCACCGAAACATTTTGGCCTGAGGAGTAAATTGTTCTTCAATCAATACTGGTGCTGATAAAAAATGAAATCGCGAAATCTATTCTAGGCAAAAACATCAAGAATAAACGAAAGCAACATCAATATTATGTCATACTATTTTAATAAAATATAAGCCATTTTAAAGGATTTTCTTTTGTTTGAAAATATGTAATATGAATTATCGACACTGAGACATCAAAATGAGCATATTTGTTCCAATTTCTCAACACTCTTCTTGTCATGACTATAAAAAAATATCAATCAAACAAAAAAGTTAACGCGGCGGTTTTATTCGAACTGGTCTAATCTACAACAGCTAATGCAACATAATTATTGTCAATTACACAATTATTAGATAAAGCATTTTTTTCATTTTATGTTGCGGGTCTAATCGGCCAATTTAAATATAGAAGAGTAAACAACTATTGTTTTTAATAATGAAAATGATTTAATATTCAAAATTATCATCATTATTGCATTATGTATTTTTTTTGTGATAATATTAAATATCAAATATTTGATCAAGAATTCCGCTCCCATATTTTTTATTGTAATTGAAGTCAAAGTTACGTTACGTTAAGTTATAGGATATATTGAATATTTAATTGAAAATCTTGTAACAAAAAGCACAACTTTCAAATTTTGTTAGGCGTTTAAAAATTATTAATACAATTTTGGCGTACATTCATGATAATTTTTCAAGAACAAGTTTCAAATTTTTGTCCTATAATATATTTTAAGAAAATTAGTTTGATACATATCGGGTGATTATTATTCCAAACCAAATTAATAAGCCCACATAACCAGTCCCAAGAAGCAATGTGAGATAAGCTGTGGAAAGCAAAAAGCAATAAGGGGTTGTTCTTCTCTTCTTTTTACCTGAGCTTTCTAATTTGGCAGTGTCTTTATTGGCAGTACTACTATTGTTACTCTGTTGCGAATTTTGTTGTACAGGACTCTGGATTTGAATGTTTGTCCCAGGTATAGTTATTGTAGTTCCTCCTCCTGAAGTATTATTCTGTTGCTGCTGTTGTCCGGAGTTAGTTGATGTGTTCAAACCTGGTATCGTAATATTACCTCCTGGGAAAGCTATTCCTTGAGACCCGCTTAGCGGAATCTGAATGTTGGTGCCGGGTATTGTTATGATTGCAGGGTTAGAAGCAGCTTAAAGGAAGAGAAATGCACAAAATACAGAATGACCGCATGTGTTAGTTGGTGTTAGTAAAGGGTGCAGCGGTATTTGCACACTTTTTGCTTCCTGATGTATTTGTCGTGGACTTCTAATCGATTTGCCGTGGATTTTTAATCTTTTTTTTTTTCTCTTTTAAATGATACGGTACTCCTAAAGTTATGTTAGGGAAGAAAATCACTCTGGTCTAAGATGGCTTTCAAGTCATGTATTCGATTATATTCAATATAATAGAATCAGAATCTTAAGTACGCCTTAATCAATAAAATTACAAACAGTAATTGCTATAACCAAATGACAATCCCGCGAGTAAGAATTTTCAGAATACATTGCGCGGTCATAAAGATAACAAATACATCAGAAAGTTTGATTAGAGTAGAAATACAATAAATCATATTAAAGAAAATATTAGCTGGGGTATCACCATGTACCAACATCAGTTTCTGAAATTCATTTTTTGATTGATGAAAATATTATCTACTTGTCACACCCCAACTCTAAGCTCATATTAGAATATTACTGTTTAAATTTGAATTGAACTAAATGTGAATTTTTTAAATGTGAACAACCAACGAATATCAAACACATTACATGGCTAGAATCAATAGAAGCGATAGAAATAATAGTTCAACCAAAACCAGACAATCTAATAAACCGATTACCATTTGAGTTTTATAAACGACATGAAAGAGTGTTTCGTAATCAAAACTAAAGAATCAAAATAGTTTATTTACCATTCGGTAATTGAACGGTCTGGGCAGTCATTCCTTGTAGCAAATTCGCAGGTAGCACAGTGCCTTGCGGTGTTCTTATTATTTGGCCCGCCGGTGTCAATAATGCTTGCTGACCGCCTATTTGTATCGTCTGAAAGATTGTATACGTATTTCATATTTGGTATTTATTTCAGATAAATACAAAATTTGAAATATCAAAATTGAACCATTTCAACTTCGGTGAATTGTAAATGTTAATCAAGTACAGCAGAACGAAAAAAAAAATTACAAGTACATAATATCAGCAATAATACCAGTGCGCTACATTTATATATGATTCTTCGAGTAGAAGCAACCTGTTCGTATGACTTGATGGATTTTAAACCAACAACATATGCATTTTTTACGTGCGATTTAATTTCATTTCACAAATTACCTGAGCTGCATTGGCCATTGAGACGGGAATATAAATTGCTTCTTGGCCGTCTACTGTGACAGTTTGTATCGGCTGCATTACACTATAAGCTAGATTAGGAGCTCCTGAAGATAATATTTGGCCACCCTAATAACGTTAAAAAAATAACTAGATAGTCATTTGAGGTAGAGGTAGATATTGAAACTAAAATTATATAAAGTTTATGCTTAATGATTCGAGAGTATTAGATGTACCTGCATGAATTGTGGTGACATCGATTGGACCTGCAGTACTTGTTGCCCCTGAGGTGTCATAAATGATTTCACTGGTGTAGTTTGTGCTTGAGCTTGGACTTGGGATGCCTCTAATTGATTTAAGCCGCCGGGCAAAAAGCTTTGTAACTGTTGTAATGTTATAACCTGAAATTTTTTATTGTATTATATATACAATACAAAAATCTTGCATACTAGATTAACGTCTTTTCTCAATAAATATAATATTTTGTTCAAGAATCAGCATGGTTTCCGAAAGAACCATTCTACTTCCCACTCGATTTATAATTTAGTTCATAACATCATTGACTCCTTCGAAGAAGCCACATATTGTACTGCAATATTTTGCGATCTGTCTAAAGCTTTTGATAGTATTTCTCATCAAAGACTTCTTGACAAATTAGAAAATTATGGTATTCGCGGACGTTCGCTCAAACTATTTGAATCTTACCTGTCTAATCGAACACAAAGCGTTTACTTAAATAACGATCACGAGCAAATAATTTCGGATAAATTGTCAAGTACATTGGGTGTGCCCCAAGTATCAATTTTAGGGCCTCTCTTATTTCTCATATATATTAATGATTTACCTTATTGTACAAATCTTTGTGATTTTATTCTTTTTGCGGATGATACCAGCGTTTTCATCAAGGCCAAATCTCTTAATGAATTACAACATAAATTAAGCGTGGTTATGTCACAAATAACGAAATGGTTTTGTGAAAATAATCTAGTCTTCAATAATGATAAGACCCAAATCATATCTTTTTGTACAAAAAATCGTTTATCCAATAATATTACTTCTTTAACCATCAATAATTCAGCATATAATTTTTCGCAAGTATCAAAGTTTCTTGGTATCCATATTAATAATCATTTAAAATGGTCTGATCATATCTCTATCTCACCATCACCAACTTTATCTAGAACATGTTGCGCACCCTAAAACCCAAACTTGGTTTAAATTGCTTACTTTCAGTTTATTATAGCAACTTTTATTCTCACGTTTCATACGGCATCCAATTCTGGGGTTTTTCATCCGAACTAATTAAAATATTTAAGCTTCAGAAAAGAGATATTCGAATAATTTTTTCCTTGCCCAGTAAAGCCTCCTGCAGACCCATAAATTAAAAAATACAATATTCTAACTGTCACATGCATTTTTCTGCTGGTAACATTAAGTTTCATCAAAAACAATTCGAAACTTTTTGATATTGCTTCGTCCTCCTCAAACTACAACACTAGACACAAACTTATTAAGGCGCGCACATATAAATTAGCCAGCTCTTTCAATACGATCGACGGTTTAGGTATTCAGCTTAAGAATAAACTTCCACTCAATATCTGAAACTTAGACAGCAAAAAATTTCATGCTTCCCTAGTTAAACTTTTTAAAGAATTAGCTTTTTATGACATTACTGAATTTTCTCAATTTGATTTCAATAACTATTATCTTGCATAATCCTTATCCTTTATCTATGTAGTCTGACCATTTGATCGCCTGTACAACCATATTTTTTTATTGCTATTTTATTAATTTAAATTTTTACGGTTTTAAATGATTCTAACTTTCAACCTTGTGCAAGAATTTTGAGCTTGACCTGGTGGTCAAATAGACTTTAATATGATGAACTTTATGATGAACATTGTATTTAATGTTCCAATGCTTTTTTTCAGCTCTTTTTTTTCAGAAGCGAAATTCGTGCAGCTACTATGATTATTATAAAATTACTATCCTTTTAATATTACTATGAATAAGCTTGACAAGAGCCTGAAATAATATCTATTTTTATTGATTACGGCTTGCTTATGAATAAATAAATAAATAAATAAATATATTTTCTATATATCGTTAACATTTTGTTTACAACGAAGTTTCAAAGGTTTCAAAAAGATGTCAAATAAGTAATACGAATTTCAAGAATCAGCTTGTTTCGCGAAAAAAAAAACAAAAGAATTTTTGTTTGGTCTACGATTATCGCTGTTCAATTTGATTTGATTTGTCTGCATGCACCACAATCGGTTGTTGTCACATATGAATGTTTGTGTTGGTTAGAATTTTATATTTCTCGAACATAGGCCTGCAAGGCTTTTGAGAGACCTTCAATCGCTCTCACTGCCCCTGTTCTGCATATCCTTAATTTTGGTTACATCCGGAGACTCCTGGCTAATAAATGACTATGGAAAATAGCAAAGTAGGTTTCTCTGGCACACTTCTAATTTATTATTGTAAGAGTCAGTGGCGGATCCAGGGGGAGGGTCACCCTGAGTTTGACTTAAGACTTACATAGAACACAAATTCAGCAATAAAAATTTTTCATAATGATTTTATTTATGTATTTTGTTACCAAACACATTCTATAAATTCAATATGTAACTTTATAGACAAACGGCGGAGTCAAAGGCTCCTAACATTTAAAGATTTTTTAACCGTATTGCGAATATATGTTCTATACATAATTTAATTATGTGACTCCCTCCTGGCGCCAAAGCTAGATCCGCCAATGGTAAGAGTCGGCACATAGAAAAGCAATATGGAAAAATGGAAGCCTGATACAAGTACTGAATGATGCGAATTAGATTACTTGTGGCAACCAGTTATTATAATAAATCGCTACATATTAATTTAATATTAGAAGCAAAAGTATTCTATGAAATTTAGAAAAATCCATCTATCAAACTAGAAAATGAGATTACATTATTCGAGTTTATTAAGAGTAATTTAGTTGACCGGTTCAAAATGAAATATAAATATAATTATATCAACTATAATTTCTTAGGAATGACCAAAAAGTTATGAAATTGATAGATTTGAAAAAAATTATTTCAACAAAACGTTATTTGAAATGGCAAATTTAATTTAATGTCGTCGTTTCCTAGTAATCCTCTGTTATCTTTAAGAACAAAAATTAGGTAGCAATATATACTTATCTACGCCTACTTACTTCAGATAGTAAGGAAATCTAGGCAGGCGTAAATAATTATTTCATCATATAATAATAGCTTTAAAGCAAATTGTTGCAACCTCCGGATTTCTAAATAATTTCTATATTACAGTTACAATATTGTGTTTATAATATAAATTATAAGGAGGACATAAGATGATGCTGTGGGTTTATTTAATAAAATATTGCCATTGATTTTAAAATTGCTGTTTTCATTTAGAATTATTAGAACAATTTAAAGAAATAATTATTTTAAAATTTGTCAATTTTCTTCGTGAAAAAAATAGAATTAGAAGTACAAAGTAAGGTAAAATAAACCAATGTATTTGAAATTAGAAAAAAAATGAAATGCTTGAACTTTTTGGAATCCTGAATATTATAAAAATCAATTTTAGTCCGATAGTGAAAGTAATATAACTTGATAGCATGTTCAAATTGTTTTCATGGTGCGGTTCGTAACGATAAATCCAGGCACGTTTTGAATATCCAAAATAAAAAGAAAATTCCATTTGAAAAGTTAATTCCTTTGTTTAAAGTATAGAGCGTTTTGAACATTTTCAATGTTGGTAGAAATTTAATAATACATATTATTGCAATCTCTTGAATGTTTCATAATGATCATTTTTGATCAGCAAATGACTTGATCAACTGTTTCGAAAAAACTATTAGCCTCTTTCAAAGAGTCTGTACAAATTTTTTTCTACTTTTCGGTTGATCGATCGCACTATGACGTATGAAAATTAAAGTACATAACATTGTAAACCAACATTGTTTTCAATAATTTCATTTGTGAATAATTGAAATATTTTCTTATCACTGAATCTTATCTTCATTTCATTAGTAATGCATAATTAAAACACTGTACTCTGCATTCGAATCGTAATAAATAATTTTGATTGTAAGCATTAATACATAACGCGAATTTCTCGTTCAATTTCAAGATATAAATTTCTTTAATTTTATAACCATGTTTATCTAAATTATTCAAACATTACCATTGTGAGTAGAAGATATGTTATGCAAACATGAGATAAGTGACTTCTCGCGATTATTGCAACCACGCGACACATACGCTTTATATTGCACAGTGTAAAGGAAATTAATGCGATAACATAATCATTAATTGGTAACAGTTATAAAATTCGTTACTAACTTTTTTTAATCAGGCTTTAGTTCGGGTTTAAACATACTATGACCCCTTTTGATCCTAAGATAGCTAGATTGTTCGGACTGTTTGTTATGATTTTTAACGTGTGATATAATAAAATATATATACAATTACAAGAAAATAACAGTTGAAGTAACCAAGCCCTTTTCTCACTTGACGGCCTTTTCTAGATTATAGATGTTCTTGGACAATGAGTGGACAATTGATTTTTCTGATTGCATGAAAATTATTTTTTTATAAAAACATGTTTATTTGAACTTGTACATGAATATAGGGGTAGCCATAATACATTTTTAATAGAAGTAGTTCGTAATATCTTGTCAAGAATAACATTTATTATTACGAATAATTAGTAAAATTTTCCAATAATTATTGTAGCTAAGATCCTCGCTCAATATAAGGCATATATGAGGGGCCGTCCATCAATTACTTGGGGCCTCAAAGGAGGGGTTGACAAAAATCATAAAATATCACAAGGGAAAAGGTTTTTCAAGATATCGCGTGTATTTATTTTTTACCTGAGATTTTTCGTATGTGCTAAAAATACATGTGATGTTTGGTGGAGGAGAGGAATTTTAAATTCTCTCTTGGAAAAACCAAGAGGAAGAGAGGGACGGTTAAAAAATGTTTGAAAAAAAATTATTTCAAACTGGAGTAACTAAATATCGCGTCAAATTCATGATTTGCTGGTGATGAAAGGGCTTTTCGCACCGTGTAACAGTTATTTACAGTTACTAACTGGCATAATTCAAAGTGCGCTTGCACAAGAGAGACACAATCAAATGATAACATTCAACGTTGCTATTCGAATTTCAATTGTATTCTATTCATCAAATGAATTGTTGCATAAATATAAAATATAAACAATAAATATAAATTAATAACATTTGATATAAAAGTCTTGCATCCAACTGTGGCGTGATGTATGTCTTATCCGTTCGGTGAACGACCTTGTATGCTAGAACGAATTATAAAAGTTATTGAATGTGAATGGAAAGCATTTGTTCAAGAGTATATGTACATTATAGTTCGAT